GCAGGTTTATTGAATCAGAGTCCAACACCCACAGAAGATGTTTGTCTTGGTGAACTACTTCGTGAAGAACAACGATTGGCTACTCTTGCTATCATTTGGGGGGGGGGGGTTCAAAAGAAACATCTCAGGTTTTCAATGTTGCTTTTGCTGCTCAAGGGAAGAATCGAGAAAAGGGTTTCGTCCAGTACTACAGTTGCAAGGAGATGGGACACATAGCTCGCAACTGCACCGAGAAATTCTGCAACTATTGCAAGCAAAATGGACATATCATTAAAGGGTTTCCAACAAGGCCAGAAAATCGGAAAGCACAAGCCTTTCAGGCTACTGTTTCAGGTTCTCAAGTTCTTAGTTCTGTAGCAACTAGCACAAATCACCCCATTATGACTCCAGAAATGGTCCAGCAAATGATTTGTACTGCATTTTCTGCTCTTGGACTCCAGGTCAAGGTAATATGATCCTCTCTACTTGGTTTTCTAATTCTGCAGCATCTAATCATATGACTGGTTCGTCAAAGCTCTTACATAATCTTTGGAAGTATACTGGCACACAAAATATTCAGGTTGCTAATGGCAATAACATTCCAATAACAGCCATTGGTGATATTGGACCTTCTTTTCGTGATGTGTTTGTCTCTCCTGAATTATCTAGTAACTTGATTTCTGTTAGACAATTGGTGGATGATGACTGTGAAGTGCATTTTTCTCGAAATGGTTGTCTTGTGCAGGATCAAGTGTTGGGGAAGGTGATAGCGAAGGGGCCTACATTTGGGAGATTATTTCCATTGCAATTTACTGCTCCACAAACTTTATCTTTAGCTTCTATTGTTGTTGATAATAAGGGTGAAATCTGGCATAAACAATTAGGCCATCCAAATGATGTGATTTTATCCCATTTAATGAAAGAAGGTTGTCTTGGTTCCGAAGATAGGTGTTTGAATTCTGGTTTGTCTAATGGTTGTTCTACTTGCAAACTAGGGAAGAGTAAGGTTCCATATTTTCAGATCCCTTATTCCCAGACCACCCTCTTTTTTTGGTCTACAAATATTTTCCCAGGCAACTAGAGTTGTTTATGTTATCCTGGATGGCCCGTTGAGTGTCATACCTAACTATGATGATCATTACATTGATTGGGATCACATAGGAGTGTATATTATCATGTTGACGTTGGAATCAAGGATGATAGAAAATTGAAGCTAAAATATGGTTCTTGTCAAGCTACAATCAAGTCGACAATGAAGTCAACAAGTTCACGTCGACCTAATGGCCAAGCAAATGAGATAGACGAGAAAGTTGACAAAGTGCGCGTCGACGTTATAGCCGAGAAGAAGAAATCAATAGAGAAGTCAAAAGATGGCGTCGATTAGTCTTGTCGGGTGATAACAACGTCGATAGAAATACTTCGAGATATCTATCGATCGACGGAATGGTCCACAAGGATCGGAGAAATTTCGCCATTTTCCTATTTTGAATGGAAAAAGGATTTTCTTGTAATTTTCTTGATATGACCAACTCTTCAAAGCTTCTAAAACCATATAAAATGTTTTAAACAATTGTGAAATGTGTAATTATTTATCTAATTATTATTTTAATCTATATTAGGAAAATAAGGAAGACGAATCCGATTTAAACTTTTATTCGGATTTCTTTTTGTAAGCCAACCTATGCCTATAAATAGGGGGCAAATGACCATAATTATATGTGTACTTTGATTATTAATGATTTTTCAATATGAAAAGAGAAGAAACTCTTTGTTCTTCTATTCTTTGTGAAAAATAGTGCATTGCACAATTTGTTTTTGTGCTTTGTTGCAAGCGTGTGCGTGAAACTAGGTGTTTATTCACATGTGGAGCTTTGTTAGCCGTTCATTGGAGCCTTTTAACTAGCCTTTTTGCCCATAAATTGAAGGGGTGGGGTTGTTAGAGAGGAATTCTAATCGGGTTGCTAGCCACAAACACTTCTTTCATCTTCTTAACCTTTCCATCATTTTTTGTGCAAATTTTTGTGGTTTGCATCTTCTTTTCTTCTTTCACCTTTTGTGTATTTAGGGGTATTTTCTCTTGGAGTGGCAAGTTATCAAGTCTGGGGAAAGAAAAGCTTCCGCGTTTGAGGTAAATCTAGCACCTTTGCCTCAAGATTCATATTAGCTGTAATATGTCCAATTTTATACTTCCCCCTTAAAAACTCCCGACAGACTTTAGTTATCTCTGTAACTACTCTTTTAGGCCATAAAAAAGTGTTCCCCCAATATACATGCATCGACATAAGCACATAATTTACTAATTGGAGTCTACCTGCATATGAGAGATGTCTTGTGCTCCAACAAGTTATCTTTTTCGGCTTTCTATCCACCAGCTACGGACAGTCAGCACTGCTCCATTTGGATGGTGATATAGGTAACCCCAGATATCTCATTGGGAATTTACCTATATCAAAACCACAGATTGTTGTCAACGGTTCTCTTATCTGTTCATTAACACCTGCATAAAAAAGATTAGACTTTTTCTTATTAAATCTGAGTCCAGTGGTTGCTCTAGAATTTTCCTTATTAAATATGAGTCCAGTGGTATCTCCAAAGGCCTGCAACACCTTAGTTATACTTTGCATTGATGCTAGTTCTGCTTTACATACAATTATCAGATCGTCAGCAAACCCGAAATTGGTAATCTGCAATTTTCCACACTTATGATGGATCTAGAATATCCCCTTCTCAATTTCCAACCTGAAAGCTCGAGATAGATATTCCATAATCATAACAAATAACAGTGCAAAGATTGGATCACCTTTTTTCAGTCCCCTTTTTCCCTGGAAATAACCCTTACTGCATCCATTTAGGTTCAAAGAGTACATACAGCTTGATACATGCCAAACTCCAAGTAGAAAATTTTTGGGGGAAACCATACCCTTCAAGCATTTCTTCTACAAATTTCCAGCTCACGATATCATAAGCTTTATGGATATTGATGGGTATCGAAACCACCAAAATAAAACCTGCTTAAAACTTGCAGTAAGTCATAAGAAGTCGATCCCACAGAGACGGGAAACAACTGATGAAAATTGGGATCCAATGCAAGTAATGCAATGTATGAACAAAATTAGACTTGGGCAAGCGAGTTTATTACTTGACAAAGTGATGGAAGCCTAGGGTCGTCCTCCTCTCTACTCTATATGCATATATGATGATTCTCTAGCTCTCTATGTGGTATAAAACTGTGTTTAATCAGGCACAATAACATTGTAAGGTCACTCTCATTATTCCAAACAGCAGTCCTAGCAGCAACAAGCCAACTAACTCTCATTGTTGAGTCCAGAATACTACTAAGCCATTAAGTTCCTAAGCCCTTATGATTGCCTCGTACCAAATAACTAACTCTCGTTGTTGTTTGAAACCTTAGGTTGCTACCCCCTTGTCACCGGTTAATCTTAGACGTTCTAAGTTAAGTTTACCCTCTCAGGTTTCCCTTAACATGCAAGAACAATTAGTTTCAATGGCCCAATTAAAAGGATAATAAAAACTCTAAGACTAAGCACACAAGTATCATCCGAGAGCTTAATCAAAACATACTCATATAGAGTATAGAGATTAGACCCTAGAAATGAGTTTAGCTACACATGGTGAGAAGCTCAAACACCACAAAGTTCTAGTGTTGAGACCTCCTCATGGTTACAACCGAAAAGGTGGAAAAACTGGGGAAGAACAAAGTCAGGGAGTGTGGTAAAGTGCAGCTGACTTCGCCGAGTCAGCTTCTCACTTCCCAAGGTACACCCTTGAGTTTGCTTTCTAGACTTATGCTCTGTTTCTAACCTAACAGACTAAGCTAACACTAACTTCTATCCTTCTAACTCTTGTTGCCTTCTTCTTCTTCTGCTGCTGGTTTATATAGAGGTTGGAGGGAGTAATCTTGCTTAGCTATGCTAGTCTCCTCTTTACCCGATGGGTTTAAGCAAAGGAGAGGAGACCCATACTTTTTCAACTTCCCCCTACCTCTAATCACTTTTTGGATGGGATTTGGTTGCTCTAATTCAGGTTTAAGGCACATCAACCTCTCCCTTTGTCAGCATCATCACTTCACCACCTTTTCCTCTTTCCTATCTTAGACGACTTAGTTCAATTTGGCCTTCAAAACAGTTCTCCTTCCCATTGGTTTCAGCCATCTTCCGCCCTTTCATTTCAGTCCAATCAGTCACTTTCAAATTCCAGTTTCTTCCAACTACTTCGATCTACTTCGATTCACAAACATAAATCCTAGTTCTACCATTCAAGAGTTACACTTGTGATGATGATGGTTGTTTATACTATTCATCTAGGCTTCCATGATTTCATAACAAAAAACAACATTGGAACAAAGAATTTCTCCTATCATGGAATAAAAATCTTCAAGTTATGTTTTTTCTATTTTGATCGGATTAGTAGTTTGTTCGAGAATGTTGGTGCTTATAGTAATATCAATGTTTACGAGTTAGTAGAGGGCTATTTTTCAGTCAAGATCACCAATTATGGTGCAACCGTTCTTTCAGTCATCCTCCATGATAAAAAAAGTTTGTTAATTTTTTTTTATTTTTGTTTCATTTCTTTACGAATCAATATTGATTACGTTATTATAAAATTGTGGCTTTTTCGTCAATGATTTATTTTATTTTTTTGGATTTTGTTGGATGGCTTTAGGGAAATTGGATTATGTGATTCTTGGTTATGAAAGAATAGATGAATATAAGGTTAGTTTTAATTGATCGATTTTTAATTTAGTTTTTGTTTTTGGTTGGATTCTATTTTGAAGACGATCTATTCTTACCAATAATATGTCCTTTTTTATTTGAGGGGGTATTTGCTTTGATTAAAATTTTTTACAAAGTCGTTTGGATTATTCGGGTGTTTACTATATTTTAGAAATCTTAATTATTTGTTGGAACTTGAAATTTAATCATTCTTCCCCTTTTTTTATTTGATTTTCCTAAATGAATTATTTATGTTTTTGGGGCATCATGATTCAACCTATTTTGGAGATCTTATTGGTCGTGTGTCAAATATAATTGGACATGCTATGTTCAAGCTGAATGGTGTTAATTTTAAACTTCGTACCAATGATCATGGAAACACTCTGCATGGTACTTTTAATTTTACCTATGAATAATGAAATTTTAGTAATGAATAAATGTAACTCTCAATGTATAACCCTAAGAAGTGTTTTCAACTTCATTAAGGTGGTACTGGTGGGTTCAATGATGTTGTGTGGACAGTGGATCAATATGTTAGAAATAAATACATTAGTCTCCATTATCTTAGCCACTATGGTGAACAAGGGTTAGTCTTCTGAATTTACCGTTGAGAATTTGTTTGAATGTAACATGACCTTTTACGAACCTTTTACGAATTTTTTGACAAACTTTTTGTTAAATTTTGGCAGGATTTCCTGGAGCAGTGGATGTTTATGTGATATACATGTTGATTGAAATCAACAGATAGGCCATAAAAAATGGTAGCCAAACCTTTGAATAGACCTACACCAATAAACCTATAGCATCCCACACTTATTAGACTCTAGCTGGTCACAAACTTTGGTTCTCACATCACTTTGTTTGACCAAAAACTCATCCCTACCAGCAAAATCATGAACATCGAAGGCACCCTTTGGATTCCTTGAAACCTAGGACCACTGGGAGCAGATTTAAGGAAATCCCTGATGCATATGACATCAACTATGTGATTGATTACCAAACAAATAAACATGGTAAACCTCCATGTGCACAAAATTGCAGCCGGGGCAAAAATGGAGCTGTAGAGTAACAAGCCTGGAGTGCAATTCTACATACTAGCAACATGTTGAATACAACAATAGGAAAAGATGGTGTCTATATATAATTACAAAAATTATGAGTTGTAAAATCATCATGTGTGCATCATGTTGACTTAAAATCTCTATGTAGTTGTAGTCATATACTATGTCATCATACTTAGGACTACGGGAGTAGTAGTTAAACTGAAAATTTATAATCTGAGCCGGTCTTTCTGTCTTTCCATCATTCTTTCCCATGAACACTAAAACCAAAAGGCAGTATTATGTTTCAAATGTGTTCTTTTACATAAGTTCAATACTTTTTTGTCATATTATTTCTGTTCATATGCTTGTAACTATAACTCCATAAAATTCAAGTTGCTCTTATTAAACATTTTATATCCATTAAATTTTTTTGGTACTTAAAACTCAGACATTGTATATCAAAATTACATTGTTATAAACATTACAAATTAAACAAAAACGATGCAAACTACAAGAGAACACACACAAATATATTTTGTTTTTGAACAAATATAAATTTCAGAGATAACGTTATTGTACACACACTTAATCATATAATGTATATTTGTACCAAAGACAAATACTAGAGATAACTTAAACCATGCATGAGCAACCGTTCAAACTCACTAGTTTATCATAAAAAGAAATGTTCATAGAGTCGTAGTCTTAAATAGAAAAGAAGTTTAGAAACTCTCTAATCTTTTTTAATAAATACTAAACCATTTCTTGCTCCCCATTCGCTTGGTTGTTGTTGCAACACTTACAGTAAACTATTTGGATAGATGTCAACAAAAGTCCTGCAATATTTGGGATCTACAAGAAAGGAAAAAATTAAACAAATTAGTAAAAAGAAATTATAATTTTAATAAAGTAAACATAAGGTAAATCAGAATTTAATTATTATAAAACCTTACCATATATGTATATCTCGGACAAATATTCCGAACATAAGCTAGATCAAAGCACAACCCCAAAAGGTGCCACTCAATAGATTCGGGGTAGACTGTGCATCCTTAGCCCTTTTTTTTCTTTTTTTTTTTTTGCAAAACCAGAGTCAGAGCAGATTATTCATAAGAAGTACTCAAATTCAAGTAGAAAGTTACACATCCAGCAGAGCTAATTTTGGTGCACGGCCAAAAGTTAGGCCAGAACAAGTACTACTAACAAATCTTAATTCTGTTCTGATCTTAAAATGTATGCCAAAGCCTTAAACATTACAACCATGAAATTCCCAGCAGATCAATTGACTACAAAAAAACCACCACATCAGAGCAAAGCTGTAGGTACGCCATCACTTCAGAACAAAGAATGAGTATATTTGAAGTTATACACATGATTGTTCAACCATTGAATGGAGCGTTCACCATAGAAAATATCTTCCACTTGATCAGATATGCACAGTCCCATTATGTGGCCACCAGTTGCGGGGTCTTTAGCAGCTCCCCTACAGATGGACCTCCGCACCACACGATAAGTCTCATCTTGACTCATAATGCTTCTGTAGTAGTTGTTCTGAACAGGAAAAGCACCATAGTAGCCACTTCCCAATGCATAATACTGGCGTACCCGTTCAACAGTAGCAGAATAACCATCAATCAGGAAAGCAACCAAGTTTCCTGAATTATCCTTTGCAGCAATCATCATTTTTGTTTGAACCGGTGCTTGACGAAGCAGGTATAAACGAAATACAGCTTTCATAAAGTTTGCTGCACTTCGAGCTGAGTGATAGGCATGACGGTTTCTGCTCAAGTAATCAGTTGCCCAGTCACAAGCTGAGGCAGCCCCAAAACCTGCTGCTACCACAAGTCCAAATCCAGTGTTAGGTGTCCCTAGCTTTACAACTTGCACCTTTGGTATGTAGTTTGACATAATATGGGGCTGAAACAATAACAAAACTTAAGAAAATATATTAACCAAACTTAGCCGGTTATTAATATGGAAATTTTCTAAAAAAATAAATGAAAAAGGATAAAAAAAAAATTACCAAATACGATGCAAAGATAACTAGGATTGTAACCCTGACACAAATCCAACCAACAATTTCCACCCTCACAGTCTTTTTGTGGAAACAAACAGGCTCACAAAGAGCACCAAAAGAAAAGGTCCAATCGCCAAAGCGATGTATGAGACGGCGCGTCTCTGTAGTTTTTTTTTTATCAAGGAAAAAAGAATTAGGTTGGATTGGTTAAGGTTAAAATATGAATTTCTTTACAGAGTCATTAAGGTGCCAACTGAAAACCAAGGAATGGATCCTTAATAAATTAACCTGTGCTAAATTAAATCAGTTTGGCAATCACCCAAAGTTTGTTGTACCAAATCTTAATAAATCAAACAAATTTATAAATTGAATAGATTTTGTTTATTTTTCTTTGGCAATCCACAAAGATCTATTGCATCATAGGTTTTGAAAGTAATATCCAAATTAGTGTTACTTCTTTCTTTAGGTTGGATTGGTTCAATACTTAGATACAATATTTTAGTTACATTTTAGAGTACACCAAGTTTTAAAACAAAGTTTCTAATCATATCTTGTTGATCCATTCTGCTCCTTTCGTTAATAACTTAGATTTAGATTCAGAACGAACAATTCAAAATTCAACTACCATCTGCTTCTCTCTTTTTTTCTCGTTTTTTACAAGTTTGAAGTTTCTTAAAATAATTAATACCTAATAGCCACTACCTCTAATTTAGCTACTGACTTTTCATTCAAGCACTTATTTAATTATTTTCTGGGGTGAAATCTAAATTTAATAGCATCATAAGTTTCTTCCTTCGAATTAACACAAAAATATAATTCACATCTCCCTATATACCACTCCATTTCCTTATACAGGCAACATCCATTGATAGCTAGCGAACCAGAATCGAAAGTTATCAGCCTACTTTAGTCTTTAAAGCATAATCACTCGACAAGTCAAAACAAAGAAATAAGTGACATTCAAAAGCATGAAGCAGAAGTTGAATGGTACTTCTTGTTTTTAATGAAAAGCATTTGTATCAAAATATAGTTTGTGTTCGTCAAAAAAAAAGAAAGAAAAAAGAAGTATTTGTTTTGAATGAATTGCACTGGAGAACAAGGATAGAGTTCTTCTGCAAAATTTTACCACAGATTGCCTATTGGATTCCTAGCTTCTTTGCCAATTTAGTTTCATATAATTTCACCATATGTGTCACAATAATCCATTGGATTAAGGAGCCCATCCCCAATGAAATTATAATTTTCCAGCGGTGGAGTATTGTTTTCTTATTTTTTTCTTTCTATTACCATTTTTTGGAGCCGCTAAAATTTTCTCAAAAGGAGCAACCACAACTAAAGAAACAATATTGGAAAGAATAATTAAATAGACCAAATCTGGGGTTACTCTCCCCAGATTTTCACATGGCATTATTTGATGATTGATACACATGTTCTTTTTATTCGTGACAAAGAAAGAGGTCAAAGCTTAATTCGCTGTATATGGTTGTAATAGTGGCATCATTTGAGATTTGGGATTTAGAAGTGTCTACACATGATTACAAAAATTATGAGTTGTAAAATCATCGTGTATGTGCATCGTGTTGACTTAAGATCTCTGTGTAGTTGTAGTCATATATTATGTCGTCATTCTTAGGACTGCAAGAGTAATAGTTAAAACTGAAAATTTTTACTCTGAGTTGGTCTTTGTGTCTTCCATCATTTTTTCCAATGAACAATGTAACTCCATAAAATTCAAGTTGTTCTTATTAAACATTTTATATTCATTAATTTTTTTTTGGTACTTAAAACTCATAGACAAAGTATATTAAAGTTAAACTACAAGAGATCACACACAAATATATTTTGTTTTTGCACAAATATAAATTTGAGAGATAACGTTATTGTACACACACTTAAATCATAGAGTGTATATTTGTACCAGGGTTCGATTCCCACAAGGGGTTGTAAGGGGGGGGGGAGGGGAGGGGAGGAGGTTTACACAAAAAAAGAGAGTGTATATTTGTACCAAAAATAAATACTAGAGATAACTTAAACCACGCACGCGTGACCGTTCAAACTCGCTAGTTTATCATAAAGAGAAAGGCTCGTCGAGTCATAGTCTTAAGTAGAAAATAAGTTTATAAACTATCTAATTTTCTTAATAACTACTAAACCATTTCTTGCTCCCGATCTTCTTGGTTTTTGTTGTTACAACACTTACGATAGATTATTTGGATAGATGTCAACAAAAATCATACAATATTTGGAACCTACAAGAAAGGAAAAAATTAAACAAATTAGTACAAAGAAATCGTAATCTTAATAAAGTAAACATAAGGTAAATCAGAATTTATTCATTAAAAAAACCTTACCATAATATGCATATCCCAGACAAATATTCCGAACAAAGGCCAGACCAAAGCACAACTTCAAAAGGCACCACTCAACAGATTCGGGGTAGACTGTGCGTTGGTGCGTGCCGAGTTCACCAAAAATATTACTAGCTTGGATTATGAATTTTGTAGACAATAGAAGTTAGGTCGATCCCACGAGGACAACTAATTACCAAATTTGTTGTAAAAAAGACTACCAGTCAGACAAGGTGTCACTTAGGGGAATGGAAACAGTCACTCAGGGGAATGAAGCCAAGGGTGTTCATCTCCTCTTCCTACTGCTGTAGTTGTTTACTAGCACTGTAATGGTTGAGTTCTTGTTTATAACTCTAAGTCAGTTCCCATTTTTCCTAGAGTCATCTTTGCAACCTTAACAATCTATTTTCCAATGATTTATTCCAGTTACAAAGTCATTAAGTTCTCAGGCCTTCATGAATGCTTATGTTAACTAAGTATATTCCTATCTTAGTTAAAACCATAGACTGTTACCTCTATGTCATAAGTTAAAGTTGAAACAATCCAAACCAAGTTTATCTTTCCAGATCTCCCTAAGTTCTAGCATGCATTCAATTTAGTGATCAAATAAATGAATGTAGAAAAACTTTCAACTTCAAAACAAAGAACAGAACCAGTGCCTTACACAACTACAACATAGGTTGAGGAGAATAACCCCTGGAAGCTGCTTAGCTACTCATGCAGATTAATGCTACAACTACTACATCAAAAGACATCATAGAAGTATGCATAATAAAACGAAGTTCAAGCTAACAGTCAAGGGACGAGAAAAAAGCTTGTGCAGTTCTTAGCCACTCCCGAGAGTGAAGGGGTTCACTCATGGAACTGAAGCAGAAACTGGGATGGCTACTCTTCAACTTGGCTTCCTTACTGAGTTGTTGTTGCTCCTTCTTCCTACTTGACTTCTTCCTGGAGTTTTTCTGTGTATTTTGGCAACTGAAAAGGTAACCAGAGATAGCTCTCCTTCCTTCTGAAAGTGAAGTTCCCCTTTTATAGAGCCTTACAGCCGGTTCTTTTATCAAGGGAACCTCCTATGCTTGTGAATTGTTTAATTCTCCCTATGCCTTGTGCCTGGAATCCAAAATTGACTGGTCTTCTTCTCTTCTTCCAGTAGTGGCAACATCATCCTCATTGATCAGCAGGGGTGGTTGGAATTTCAGCTGAGAGACAAGCATGCCTCTTGGAGTTCAAATGAGAGACATACTCATTAATGGCAAGATGCTTCTTGTCTTGGGGGGTACTTTTTCGTCCAGCTCAGTAAAAATTGTCTCAGCAGCCCACAATTTGTTCCTTTAGCCTCAATTTTTCAGCATTTGTTCAATCAAACCCGAACCTAATAAAAACATGAAAACCAGTTAAGTAGAATGCACTAATAATAGGAAATACCTTCGATTTCTACCAAATTCAGAGTTAATTGTGATGCTTTAACTCCCCCAAACTGGAAGAATTGCTTGTCCTCAAGCAAAACAACTAAACTCTTGCTGACACTTACAGAATTGCACATAAGACACAGGGGAAAACAAAACATTGTCAAAATGACCGAAGGCTGACTTACTCCCCTGAGTGAGGATTCTCACTCAGGCAGGTGACACTGAACATAGCAACAACCATAAACACAAACTGGATAGGAGCTGTCAACCTTTTGTCTCAGATTCAAGTGAAGAAAACATACACTTAAGGATACCAAATCTTTCTGCAATCCAGAGTCAAATAGCCAACCTTCACATGAAATTAGAATGAATGCTACAAGTGTCAGTTATGCCCATCCTATCAATCCATTCTAAGTTAACCGGTTAAACTTTTGGTGGTCATTCTTGTGATCTGGTTTTGCCCAAGTTACTTTGACTTGATCTACCTACTGAGGCTTCAATCATGGACTTCCTTCATAGTCTTTCTGTCTTTTTTTTTTTTTTTGTAGGTGGACCAACCTTACACCTTTGGGAGGGGTGTTATTCAACCTTATCTCTCCACTGCCTTATACCTTAACCCTTATTACTCCAACAGTTTGGAACTTTTTGTGGTGGTTCCTTACTTTACCCCTACGGTTTCAGTTGATCCATTCCCTAATTTTTTTTTTCATAGGACAAACAGGCTGTGAATGGATACCACAAGGGAAGTCTCAGGTTTACAGCATCTCTCATCTGCTTGTAGCTCAGAACTAGACACAGATCACAACAGTGGATTAGTCATGCCAAATTTTAAACTTTATGTTCTAGGCAGTCACTTCCACGAGTGGCATTGTTCATGTGTGTGAGTGAGTGTCAGCCATTCTTTCCTTCATGCATCAGACTCAGTATCAAAAGTGGTTTAGCAAAATTTTTACAAAACCATTATCATCCTGGACTGTTAACAGCTCCTTAGAAAATTTTTCATTTTATTTCATTTTTAAGAGGAATTTTACAGACTCGATCTAGACATGAACCTAAGGGACCTGAATTTTAAAAAACCTGACAACCATACCAATACTACTCTACTACCCCCCCAAACTTATTCTAAGTATTGCC